CCTTTCATTTATAAATCACAATAAATAAACAGTCCAGAATTTAATATTAAATTCAAATAAAAACCTTTCTCCCACATTAAAAAAACAATTAAATACCTATCTATTTTTTTCCAACCAAATCTTTCTTTTTCCTTTCATTTATAAATCGCAATAAATAAACAGTATAAAATGTATTTTGCAACTGGTATTGGCAATACTTAATCAACCTTAGGTTCATTACGTTTTAAAAATCATACTGAACACTGATACATCTTTAAAAGTCTAAGTAATCTAAATCATTATAGTTTTAAAAATGTCTAATTTTTACTGTGCAGGTGCCACTATACTCAGTTATTCCCTGCATTCTATAATGTATCCTTTGCCTTTTATGATGCAGTAAAACAATTAACTGGAGACGGGGAGAAAATGACTTAGTTTTCAGCATCGGGGCAAAGAATTCTTCAACGTTTCTAAGAAATTGTTTTCACTGTCATATTTAAACTCTTGTTGTTTTTTGCAATCTGCCCTCTGATATGATAAAAGATACATCAATGATTTCTGTGTTTACAGTCCTTCAAGGACTGATATCTCAGGCTGGCATTGCCCAGCTCCCAATGCAGCAATGCTGCCTCTACCCACATTCTCTCACCCTGGAAGGTGAGGCATGAAAAATAGGTACTTGACACATGTGGCAGAGAGTGATTGCACTTAAACAGAGAAAAGAAAATATTGAAAGAGATATTATATCCTTTCTTTACAGGAGGACACCAATCCCCACTCCTAAATCCAATCTCAAAGAAACACAGCATTTCGCATACAATCTGTGCTATATCCAGTCTTCACTGGCCTGTTGATTCTTTAAAATTACCTTACACATTATTTGAAAGAAGATGACAAATAGGACGTATGTCAGTATTTCCTGGACTTGCCCGACAGAGATTCTATGAATTGCTTTTTTAAAAATTCCTGTGTGTCTATTTTACCAGGTAGACCAGACAAGTATTGCCAGATAAGCTAATTCTACTTTATTGAAACGTTACATTAACAGAATCTTGCAAGTCTAAAAGTACAGATCTCCTTCCATCACCTTTACAACTTAGGGAGGATTTCCCCCAGTGGTGGGATTCAAATAATTTAACAACCGGTTCTCTGCCCTAATGACTCTCTGGGTAGATGGGGCTTGGTGGTCATGTGATTGGGTGGGCGTGGCCAACTCAAGGTCACTCAGGTCGATGGGCGCTTCTCCTTAGCAGTTACAATGTAATAAGGGTTAACCGGAGAGGCAATTTCTGTAAGCAGGACAATAAAGATGAGGCTAGAAACAACACTAGAATGTTTCCTTCCTGCNATTTCTTCCAACAACCAGTTCTCCAAACTGCTTAGAAAGTTACCAACCGGTTCTCCCGAATAGGTGCGAACTGGCTGAATCCCACCACTGATTCTTGAGCTAGATGTTGACAATTACTGTGACACCAGGGTTGTAAATCTGCACCAGCTTACCACACCCAGCCTTCTCCCTCCAGGGCTGAAGGGCAATTCCACGGCTTTGGCACTGCTGAGCATATGCTCCCAGGGTTTTGCATAGGCTGCTGCCAGAGGTGACGCACATGTCCTTCACACAGTTCTCAAAGTGGATTTGAGCAGTAGCAGGGTCACCGCATAGCTGAAATGGCCCACTTGGATCACGGATGATCCCACAAGAATGCAAAGGCCAGTACTGAGATTCATCACAGGAGGGTGGAAGCCCAACAACTGTACAGTGGAAAGGGGAATTCGGTTCTCTCCAGCTGTTGCTGAAAGCGGTAGGGCTGAAAAGAAGTCCGCCATTGGGGTTTTGGAAGTCATCCTTCTGATTCCCGTTGAAGTTCCCGCTCAGACCACAAAGCAACCCAGAATAGCTCTTGGGGACAGACATCGATACGGAGTAGGACCAGTCGTAAGAGACAGAGAGACCAAAATTGGTCTGAACGTGGATGGAAAAGCCATGGTAGTAAGCAGAGAGCTTTTCCGCTGGAAGAACAAATGGCAGGTTGACTAGAAGACCATTCACCTGAGATGGAAAGGAGAAGAGAAATCAAGGCAGCATTGTTTATCATTCACAATAAACCGCAATACCTTTTCCACTGAGGGCACAGTGAATAGAATTCGACAACATTTTGGTGTGGCACCAATTATAGAGAAGATGGGAGAAGTCCAACTCCACTGATATGGATATGTCCAGAGAGCAGGACCTTCCACCATGGCCAAGACTGCCTGCCAACTAGAAGTCAATGGCCAGTGACCTCGTAGGCATCCAAAACAGAGATGGCAAGACACCATCAACAAAGATATGGAAGCTGTGGACTCTGTGCCCTGGAGATGCAACTGACCATGCAAAGTGGTGTTCAATGGTCTAAAAATCAGACCCTTCACCTGCAGGAATACACTAGGAAAAAGAAGAAGAATTAAAAGGGGGAGGGGAGGAAGAATAGGAAGAGGAAGAGGAAGAGGAAGAGGAAGAGGAGGAGGAAGAAGAAGAAGAAGAAGAAGAAGAAGAAGAAGAACCAGAAGAAGAACCAGAAGAAGAATGATTAGAATGCAACAATGGCAGGCTGCTAACTCTGCCCACAGCCTGGAGTTTGATCCAGATGGGGTTGACTCAGTCTTCCATCCTTCTAAGATCGATAAAATGAGGAGAGAGATTGTTGGGAGCCATATGCAAATAATGCTGACATTGTAAACTGCCAGAGAGGGCTATAAAGCATTATAGAGCCATATATAAATCTACGTGCTATTGCTATTGTCAATATGGCACTCTTTGAAATGGATTGAATTGAGACTTTCATAATCACCAGAAGTAATTGCAATTATAGTGGGAATGGCTAAATATCGCCAAACAGATGATGAGTGAATATATAATATGTATTTCATGGCTTCAGATTAAATTTAAATGCAGGGTTTCGTTCTGACCCTACGAACGTCAAGCACGTGGCCTCTATATGGCGCAAGACTGGTTAAGCTGTTTTTGCTATTCCAGCTTCTATAGCTATTCTTGGATTTGGTTAAAGCTATTTCGGGAATGAACACTTTTATACTTTCAATAAATATTTACTGATGTGGCTTCCCTTTTTGAAACTGGTCTGCAGTTTTGTCAAGGAGACTTGGTGGTACATTTGCGGTGAAACCACAAAGAGTGAGAAGAAGATATTGAATAATAACCACAGCAAAACACAAAAACAAAACTCAGCCAAGGAATTGTGTTCTGCAGGCACAGGCCAAAAACAACAGGCACTTTTGCTGTATATGCTGAACACACTTTTCAATTACGGGGATGCCAAACTAACCAGCAGCTAAGTGAGGGGTGGTTAAACAAGCACCTTACCTGTATTTTGTCATACTGATCTGCCATCATAACAATCTGCTGCCCGTAGACCTCGACCTCCACCTGGTAGATCCAGGATGCTGCCAACGAGGTCCGATGTTCATTCTGCACTTTGACAGTAAAACTCGGTAACTTGTTCAAAGGACCACAGTACCTGCTCAAGGTGTATGTGCATGTCCCTTCATAATCAAATGCCACTCCATCAAAGGTGACATAATGGGGATCTCCAAACACCCAGGAATTGCCAACTTCCTCAGCGTGGCATCCCAAGACGCCATCCACCACTCTACAGGTTTCCTGAGCCCTGCACGCATGCTCTTGGCATTCCATAGGGTGAGAAGGCTGCCTACAGAAGCATTTCTTGCTGCAGGAATCTGTCAGGATCTCCTCATTGCTCACTTCATAATACTGGTTGTTTAGTGTGCAGCCACAATGGCTCAGAGGCACGCATGCACCTCCACTGAGAATGTAGCCTTTGTCACAAGAGCAGCCCTCTCGGCAAGGCTTAGAGCAGAAAAGCGGAGCGGTGGAATCCAGACAGCTGGCAGGGCAAGCTGTGGAGCAGACTTCATAATGGCTGTTCTCTGGACAAGTGACTTCTGAGAGAGAAAGGATGCACGAAAGAGGAGACAAGTCAAGTACATGTTATTGCATCAAACCAGATCCCAATACCTGAACTATGCCTTGCTGTTCATTCAGTCACATGTTCCATCAGAGGTGGGCTGATGGGGCTTTGCAGGGGTTCGGGAGAACCTCTAGCTAAGATTCTGGGCAGTTCGGAGAACCCCCAAATCCTATTCGTGGCTGGCCCTGCCCACCCTGCCCCTCCCAGGAGTCCCTACACAGCCCGTTGTGGATGCAAGTAAGTGCAGAGCATGCATGGAGGCTCGGGGAGGCTATCGGAAGTTCGAGAAGGTGAGAAACGGCCCTGTTTCTAGCCTCCAGAGAGCCTCCAGTGCCTGCAGAGGCCATTTTTGCCTTTCCGGAGACTCGAGGAAAGCCTCCAGAGCCCGAGGAGGGCAAAAATGCCCCCCTCATGTGGTACAGGAAGCCGACTAGACCATGACCACCATGGCCAAGCCCACCCAGCAACCGGGCAGAGAACCCCTTGCTAAAAATTTTGAAGCCCACCCCTGTTCCACCTCCATCCATTCTCAGCCTTCTCCAACCTGATGCTCTGTAAGTGAGTTGTATCTCATTTCCAAGATGCTATCACCATCAGTGACAACAACCAGTGGGATGGGGAACCCTAGATCAGTGGTTCTCAACCTGTGGGTCGGGACTCCTTTGGGGGTCGAAGGACCCTTTCACAGGGGTCGCCTAAGTCCATCAGAAAACATGTATTTTCGATGGTCTTAGGAACCGGGACACCAATTTTATGGTTGGGGGTCACCACAACCTGAGGAACTGTATTAAAGGGTTGTAGCATTGGGAAGGTTGAGAACCACTGCTCTAGATAGTATAGCCTTCATTATTGTCATTGTACAAAAGAAATACAATGAAATTGGTTTTAGATGCTGAAGACCATCGTGTCTGGAGGACACCAAGTTGGAAAAAGGTGGATCTACCTCATGTCCATCTCTCCAAGGATGCTGTCTGCTGAGTTAGATGGGAAGGTTGAAATAAGAACTTGCAATAAGTTGCAATACAGTAACTTGTGTTGCAATAAGAACTTGTGGCAATTGATGGTTCATATGCACATACATTGGCACATGCACATATAAGAACATAATGTTTTTCTCATCTACCAAAAATCTACCAGTCTCATTCCTTCATGCGTCCCCCATTAAAACTTTTAGGATAGTGCCAATCACCAGTTTCATTACAAGAAGATCATCCATCAGAATAGAGCAATCAGGACACGTTTGTTGGTTAGAACAGAGGTCTCCAGACTTGGAAATTGTAAGACTTGTGGCCTTCAGCTCCCAGAATTCCCCCGCCAGCATGATCTGCTGAGGATTTCTGGAAGTTGAAGTCCACATGTCAGAAAGTTGCCAAATTTGGAGGCTCCTGGATTAGAAGAAAGCATTCCCCACCAGTTGTCTGGATGTGCCTTAAGTCCCATTCATCATATTTTTAATGGACCAGAATGTACAAATTGCATCTCTCTCTACTGATTAGTCACTGCAGTGTGACATTTATTATGATTTCCTCCAGCGATTGAGAGGTTGTTGGTTTATGTTTATTAATTTTACTCACCGCATTGTGTCTTTTCTCTCCATTGCCCAACTGTGATGTTGGCTGCTTGACAACGTTCAGTGTAAATATGGAGGAGATTGCATAGCACCGTCCGGTTCCCTCCAGATGTGCAAACATCATTAAGACAGACTTCCATAAAGCTAGATACAGGCACCATCTGTGCACACTTAGCAAAAGGACCTGGGGATTTTTCTAAAATGCCACAGTGTTCTGAGCTGGAATAATTGGCCAATTTAGCCAGGGGGCAAGTTGGTGGTGGTTGGATGTCCCCACAATGGTCCACAAAATTTTTGACCTGCCAGCTTTGAGCAAATAGAGTCACCGATTCCACCAAGGATCCATTGGGGGTTGAGAAGTCATCTGACTGATTACCATTCAACGATCCACAGAGGCCACAAGTCACATTTTGATATCTGGCAGGAACTCCAATCTCCACATGTTGATTGCCAGTGTAAGAAACTGACACTCCGAAGTCAGTATCTATCATCATGGAGAAGCCACTCTTACGCATTTGGATCTTGCCACCAAGAAGGACCACAGGAAGAAGGGTCTTTATTCCACCAATCTACCAAGGGTTTCCATACAACAAAGTGGAATCAGAATTACCACTTTCATTTTAGCTAGATTGGATTGTTTGATCTATCTGGTCGTGAAGAGTCAAAATCAATTTGTTGACCCATAATCAATCAATCAATCAATCACTCATACTGGGTTTAAGCAAGTGTTGAGGCATTTGATGCCACCCAAGACCGAAATCTGCAGTGCAAAGCAACCTAAGCTACTATCCCCAAATATATGATTAGATAGACGGAAGCACAACTAACTGAAGAGAGAAAGGGTTTTATAGATGAAAAAACTCGAGATGAAATCCTAGCAACTCTATCTACAAGCTGCCAGCATCCCATCCACTGGATCCAGGCAGCATCTGAAACGATGCCCCCTCCAGTCCTCAAAAAGCCCTCTCTCCATGGAACTGGTCCTTAGTGCCCAAAAGTTTGGGGGGCTGCTAATCTAGGGTTGAAAATTAAAAATTGCAGATTCTGAAAGTTAGAAAGGTCCATTTAGGTCCAGGAGTCAAAGTCCCACTAATGAATTAAGTTGAATCAAATAAAACCATCCCTAAACAACGTCTATCCAAGTTCTCCTTAAAGAACACATTAGTGAAGGAGAATGAGTTGAATGTGAAGAAGAAGAAGGAGAAGGAGAAGGAGAANCTATAATTTAGCATTAAATTAATTTAAATTGAATTTCCAGAGTAATCATGAACTATTACTTGCCAGTTTATTTTTTAATGTGGAACTAAAATCAGAAGTGGAAGCCAATAAATGTGAAAAAAGAAAAGTAAGTGATTTTGCTCTTAGGCTTGTGCAAAGCATTTAGGGCTAAATTTACGCCAGCCTTTCTTGGAAGGATGCTTTCTGAATGTGCGTGGCTGTCTCCAATGACAATTTTTTCCCCCCAAGTACAAAATAATCAACGTGCTGGTGCAGTTTTATTGTGTTACAGAGGGAAAAGCTATTTCCCTTTTTCTGCATTTTACAGTGTTTTCCCCTTAGCTTCCTACGGCTTTTAGAAGTAAAATAACACAATGTCAGAAGGAAGGCACATTAAATGTATCACCCTTGGTTTGATCCTTATCATAAATAAGTTATTTTCCGATTACGGTTAGTATCGTTTTCTGTTGCTAACAGAATTGCAAATCAATTCCTTCAGTTGATCTGTTTTTAAGAAGCAACTGGTAATACTTATGTACAAACCTACACTATGTTGATAAGAGTGGTGAAGCATCCTACAGCCTGCTTATTGTATGCAAAGATTCCCACCTTGCATCTCTGCCTAAATGAGTTTGCAAGTTGTTTTACAGATAAGGATGTTCTTCTCTGTTTAGGGTTTAGGCTCTTTTGGACACTGTGGTATAAGAGGTGATGTCATGTGTGATAATCTGGGATTTTGTTGAGCTTGTGGAGCCTGAGGAAATGGAAAGCTTTGTGGCTTAACCTCTGCCAGCAGCAGACTTGATATATCCTTGACTCTCAAGAGAGAAATATATCAAAAATATATGCCTTCAGCAGTTGGTTCCGGGAGATAACACTGTATTCATGGAAGATATTAAGCTACCTGTCTTGAAAATTTTCACCCAGTTTCCAAATGTCCTTCTTGGGGAAGGTTGTTGAGAAAATAATGGGGAACCAGCTATAGAGGGCTCTAGAAAAAACAACAACACAGAATATCACATTCAAGCTTGATCATGGGACAGAAACAACACTGGTCATGCTGTTGGGTGATGGTTTGTTGGGTCCCTTTTTTTAATTAAATTTCTTGGTAGCATTTAGTATCATTGACAATGGAGTCCTTCCAGTGTACCTACAAGAGTTGGGTGGTCACTGGCTTTATTTTATAGTGGTTCTCCTCCTACCTAACCAGATGGTGGTGCTTAGAAACACCTGAGCCCTTGCTCCACTGGGAGTTTCCTCAAGACTCAGGGTCCCATCCATCAGTTTGGGATGAGGCGTTATCAGTACATTAATGTTGCTCAGGTTTACGTTACAACCTCAGACTATGCCAGAGATGCCGGAGAAGTAAGGTTCTACATTTAGACAAGAAAAACAAAATGCACAGGTACAGTATAAGTGGTACCTTGCTCAATAGTAGTAACTGTGAGAGGGATCTTGGAGTCCTAGTGAACAATTGTTTAAATAGGAGCAAGCAGTGTGCAGCAGCTGCCAAATAAGCCAACACAGATAGAATCAAGATCACGTGAAGTGTTAATGCCACTTTATAATGCCTTGGTAAGGCCACACTT